TGTTGAAATAATCAGCCAAATTTTACTTATTGTCAATTAGGAAAAGTCTGACTTCATTTTTTTAAAATTCACATAAGGGTATTAATTCAGATTCTTTTGATATTTTTCTCACTTCTGAATTCAGTGATGATGCTTTATAAGATTAAGGAATAGTGAGAGCTTTCCTTCCTTCCTTGCTTCATGCCTCCCTCCCTTCCCTTCCCTTTCTTTCCTTCACTTCCCTCTTCCTTCCCTTCCCTTCTCCTTCCCTTCCCTCTCCTCCTTCTTCCCTTCCATATCTGCTACACACACACCCTCTCCCTCCCTCTCATACCTTTCCTATACTAATCATTCCTTTAGGTGTCTTCTAAACTTCATACTGTCTCCTTCTCTTAACAGCTAAACTTCTAGAAAGAACTATTAATTATCTTTACATCTATTTCTCCCCTTATTTCTTACCTCACTGCCATTTGACTTAAATTCTCTGTTCTCAATTAAAATGTCTATGAACAATGATCACTTATTTTCTCATATTTTTTCATACTTGTTTTGGTTTTCAAAGGTAAATAACCTCCTAGGGGCAAATGATATTATTGAACATGCTCCCCCCTTTCTTGAATTTGTTTCCTTTTTTGGCTTTCTTGTCACCCTCTCTTTTTTTTTTTTAATGTTTATTCGTTTTTGAAAGACAGGGACAGAGCACAAGCAGGGGTAGAGCGGAGAGAAAGGGGGACACAGAATCGGAAGCAGGCTCCAGGCTCTGAGCTGTCAGCACAGAGCCCGACGAGGGGCTCGAACTCACGAACCACGAGATCATGACCTGAGCCAAAGTCGGACACTCAACCGACTGAGCCACCCAGGCGCCCCAACCCTCTCTTGATTATTACCTATCACTCCTTAGTCTTCTTCTATGACTCCTCTTCATCATTACCCTTCTTCCCTTATTCCACACCCTCTGCCTGTCCTCTACCCTTCAGACTTCAGCTACCTCTGGTATGTTGATGATTCTCACATATCCATCCATCTCTGGTCCTGAGTTTTCTCCAGACACCCAGATTCATATACTCAAGTGACTGGCTATGTCTATCTAGATGAAAACAAATCTGCCATCTTTTCCTCAAATCATGTTCTCATGTTTTTAAAGTTACTAGTTCTTAGTTGACAAAGTTAAAATATAAAAACAAACAAAAAACCCCTCAAACTCTCTCTTGATCTCCTTCTCGCAGCCAACATCCAATCATACACCAATTTCTGATTCTACTTCACAATTATTTCTTATATTGACTCTTTCTGTTTGCCCACATTGGCACTGTGTTAGGTCAGATTCTAACTGCTTTCACCTGAACCACTGCAATAGCCTAATTAGTCACCCACTCATATTTTTCTAATTAACCAATATGCTCACATCACTTCCTTGTTTAAAATTCTTCAAATGTTCATGTTACCTAAATGATAATGCATACAGAAGAGTGTAGTTATTGGTAAGAGTAGTGAACCAATCGGGGCGCCTGGGTGGCTCAGTTGGTTAAGTGTCTGACTTTGGCTCAGGTCATGATCTCACAGGTTGTGAGTTTGAGCTCCACGTCGGGCTCTGTGCTGAAGGCTCAGAGCCTGGAGCCTGCTTTGGATTCTGTGTCTCCCTCTCTCTCTCTGCCTCTCCCCCACTTGTACTCTGTCTTTCTCTCTCAAAAATAAACATTAAAAAAAAAAGAGTAGTGAACAAGCAGAGATCGTGCGTCTGTTTTCTATCAGGAGTGATAAGATGGGGGCCGAGGTGTCCTCTTCTTAAGAAAAATTCAAAGACACTAAGGTAGTAGCAGTAGAGAATGTGCAGAGGGCAGGTAAGATCAACAGAGGTGAACAAGTAGGAACTCTTTACGGAGGCTTGGATCCAGTCTAGGCCCTGGGGCCAAGGGCTGAAAGACAAACATGTTGGGTTGTGTCTGACTATGGTTCAGTTTAGGTTGCTAGCACAGGAGACCAGTCAGATATTCAGGACAGATATCCTGGACAGAGGGTGCCTGGGTGGCTCAGTTGGTTGAGCATCTAACTCTTGGCTTCAAGCCTTGCATCGGGCTCCACACTGACAGTGCAGAGCTGGTTTGGGATACTCTCCCTTTCTCACTGCCTCTCCCCTGCTCTCACTTTTTCTTAAAAAAAAAAATCCTAGGCAGGAAATACAAATTAAAATATTAAAATGTCTCTTACACAATGTCTTTGTCGTTTTACAGCTAGCGATAGATAAATAGGCAGATTTGGAGTTAAAAATCCACAAGAATAAAGGACACAATTTACACATAATAATAGCACTATGTTCATTTTGTATCTATATAGACACAATGGCATCTCATCGATGAAACAAAATTAAACTGTATATTTAAATAAGATTTTATTTTTGATGATGATTGAGAATGAACCAGTATCTATAACATCCTTCTCCAGGAAAAGTAAAGACCTTTATTATGTGTTTACCTATTACTTTACACTATGTAACATGTTTTTGGAATCATCTGGTAGTTTAAATTCAGATTGTTACTGTGATTATACTGTCTGCTTTTATTTTACTTTATGTCATTTCTTTATTTTAAAGAAATTCTTTTTTAAAAACTTTGTAAAATTTGAAAGCCATATTATCAACACAAATTTACATTTAACTCAATTCCAGTGAGTTATTTGCTTATTATTGTTTCTATAACTAATGTTATTCTCCTTAGAGTCTTTTGTTTTGCTGGAAGATAGTCTACAGTTTTTTATTTTTATTTTTTCAGAGAAGGTTTATGGAGAATAAGCTTCCTGAGTCTTGACATTTCTAAAAGAAAAATGTCTTTATTCTGTTCTTACTCCACACTCACCTGAATGCTAGTTTTTGTAGGATATAGAATTCCAGGATAAAAATACCTTCCTCTAAAGACAGTAGAGGATTTGTTCCATTTTCTTTTACAATTTATTGTGAACAATTTTGAGTCTAATACTGGTGTGATCCTTATTCTTATATAATTTTTTCCTTTCCTCTAATTTCTGGAAACACCGTATTTGAATTTGTGTCTAGGTATAGATAGTTCTCTTTGTATTTTCTGCTTGGCACTAAGTGCATCTTCTCAAACTGAAGACTAGAATCTTTCTTCAACTCCTCGATTTACAGATGCTTCCCTTTTTTTTATGATGATTTTTTTCTAGCCTTCCACTGCTCTCTTTCCTTTCATGTATTTTCTTGTGCTATTTTCTTCTTACTTTTACTTTACATTATTATTTAGTAGACTTAAACTTGCAGATAACTATTCAGTCATACCTAATATTTGTCTCTTCTATTAAATTTATTGTTTTCTCAAATGTTTTTAATTTCCAAAACCCTTTGTTAATCTATAAATGTATCTTTTTTTTTTTTTTTAATAACAGCCTTTTTAGGTATAGTATTTATTCCCCTTGGGTCATTCTGAGGATCTAAATTTTTTGCTTATTCTGAGGATATAAATTTTTAAAATTTCATGTTATAGTCTGTTCCTTACATTATCTCTGTTTCCTCTGAAGTTAACTCTGCTTTTTAGTACTGGCTTGTCTTAAGTACCATTAGTCTTCCTTAAATATTTGGTGATCCTTAGTTGTTCATATTTATAAGTGAAGGACTGGGCTGATTAGCTCAGGTAACTGATAAGGATATCCTTCAAAGATAGGTAGTGGTATTTCCTCAGTAGGTTCTTCCTTGCTCCTTAAACAGTATTTAAATTCTGCATTTAAAATTTTTCTTTGGACCTTACAGAATAGGAATTACATTGTGTATCTACTTCTGAAAGTTGGGGTTTTTTTGTGCAATATGTTTATGAGGTGTGCTGATAATTGATGAATCCATTACTGAAATACATTCCTTTTCTACTGCTGCTCTGTATGATACAGTATGACCATAGTATCATCCTGTTGTCCATTTTCCTGTAGGTTGACACTTGAGGTGTTCTTATTTTTATGTCCTTGCTATAAAAAAAATAGTTCTATTGACCAGTTTGTAACAGGTCTCCTTCTATTATTAGTACACACCACAATTCACTTTTTACAAAAGATTATTGCTAGTCACAAATATTTAGGATGATATTCAGAGTCACGTTAGATTTACTACAGGAATAAAATCCTTTAGATAAAAATGTTCAACAGAGAAAAATATCTCTAGCAACCAGGAACTGAAAAGGCAATCTCCAAATCTATAGAAAAAAATTTAAGATAATAGAAATAGGCTGAAAAGGGATCTTTAAAGAAAATAATAAAATTTACAAATGAAGAGCTAAAAGACTTCAGAAACTTTCAGTCTTTTTTTTTTTTTTCTCTTGTAAAAATTTTATTTTTGGGCTTTATATCCAGTATTTACTGACAGCTAAGAAAAGTGGAATTCATGAAATTATTTGACTTTTTCAAGGTAACAAAGAACTTAGTGATCTTTCACTGTCATATTTCAGGCTATATAAATAAGATAGAAGCAATTTTATGCTTCTTAAAGTAGCAGGTAAACACAGGCAATTTTCTTATCACCCAAGAGATAAGAACAGTCAACTTTTCTTCCCCTTGATTTTACCTGGGGTACCTTTTTCTTTTTCTTTGTTAACGTTTATTTATTTTTGAGAGAGAGACAGAGTGGGGGAGGAGCAGAGAGAGAGAGGGAGACACAGAATTTGAAGCAGCTCCAAGCTCTGAGTGGTCAGCACAGTGCCCAATGCGGGGCTCGAACCCACAAGCTGTGAGATCATGACCTGAGCTGAAGTCGGACACTTACCTGAGCCACCCAGTGCCCCTGGGGTACCTGTTTCAATTGCACCAGCCAGGCAGAAGTTGGTAAGCACTGCCACCTAAGCCTGGTTTGATTTGGCATTTAAAAACTAACCAGGAAAAGGCATTGCTCATATGCCACAAACATTCAGCACTTTTCTACCAGATAAGTTGGACCAAAATTAAGTTGAAAGTAACTAGTGACCTGTGATGACATTATTCAATACAGTATTAGATATTTTAGAATGAGCTGATTTGCAGTCTGTTCTTACCTTAGTGTTTTGGATGCAGGGACAGAGGGCCCATGCTGCACTGGCCTTCACTTCCGGGTGAGGATTCTTCAGGAGGGACCATAACAAACGAACTCCATCTAAGCGATCAATTATCCTATTTGTGAAGCCAAAAACAGAAGCATAAATTTTAATTAATATCTGAAAATTAAAACTTAAATGGCCTTTCTATCCACACAACTCTACTTTTCTCCTTTTAACATTTTGCTTAGATTTTTTCCCCCAAAAGTTTAACAATAGCAGGAATATAACATGCTGCTGAACTGTCAGTGTGGATTTCGGTTTTAAATTCATGACACAGAAAGCAAGCTCCGTGATAATTATGATTCACATAAACTCAAAATCAAGCCATGTAATTTTTTAATTAGCAGTACACAGACTGTTACCTAAATGTCAAAATACTGGTTTCTTTCATATAGTAACATCTATATACTTTCCAAAACAAATATTTATGCCTCAAAACTGTGAAGTTACCTTTTTTATTTGGTCTATGTTTAATTGACTTACCTTACCGTATGACATATTTTAAACTCCTCCAGTCCTAATCTAGCATTAGGAATTAAAATCATTACACCACAGTGCACCCTTTGTTAGGCACGGATAACACGTAACTTGTTTTCCATGTGGTTCCTTCCCAGCAAGACTAACATTGCAGACTGTGTTATAATTACTTAAACACACTGTAATCAAAATATCTTCATGACTAGCTGAAAAATGAATTATCATCAGAGTCATCTCTACACCATCTGTCTTCTGTTTATATATCAATCAGTCCAGGGAGCATAACCTTGCATTAAGGTCCATTGAGTACTTGCAGTTGAGAAGGTGGCCAAACAAAACTTAATATCCTCGACAAACATGGCTTTGTTCGGAAAGATACGTTAAACTCAACGCAGATGAAAAAAGATAAAAAAACATCAAAACTCCTTTGATTTTTAATCTCAAGTTGAGTTAAACACATGTAGTATTTAGCCCCAGACAGAATAAATACTACCAGCTTAGAATGCCATTCAAATTCTTTTTTGAAAGTTGACGTAAAGACGACTACATTTCTTGATTATCTGAGATGAGTTTGCCAGGGGGAAAAATGTATCACTCCAAAGGGTCCAAGTATGAGATCAGTAATGCATAACCTTATAAAATAATTGTTAATGCAAGTAGCTTATAGTAAGACATAAATTGTCTCCTTAGAGAATGACTTGTAGTAAGAAAAATGCACATTGAGAAAGTATTTTAACACAAAGTTTAACTTCAGCTTTCTAAACCTAAAGCTTTCTGTCAATAGCTGTCAGTTTTCTGCTGACGGAAAAAGTTCGATTTCTCAACTGATGGAAAATGTAAAGAGACTGAGCACTTCACAATGAAAGATTTACTTTACAAAGTTAAACAATCTTACTGCTTTACATATACCACTGAAAGCATAATTGTTGCTGATCCTTGGGTCTCTGTATTTATTCACATGCAATTTCTCAATGAACGATAGGTCTGTCCTGCCCTCTTGTAAATGTAGCAGTAAAACTTGCATTAGTAATATTTAACTGTACAGTGCTGGACATAACTTGACATACAGCACAAGTCATTTGCATGACACACCTTTCCAGGTTTTTTTTTAATGTTTATTTATTTTTGAGAGAGAGCTCATGGAGCAGGGGACGGGCAGAGATGGAGGGAGACAGAGGGTCCGAAGCAGGCTCTGTACTGACAGTGACAGCAGAGAGCCTGATGTGCGGCTTGAACTCACTGTGAGATCATGACCTGAGTCGAAGTCGGATGCCCAACTGACTGAGCACCCCATGCATCCCCAGGTTTTCTTAAAGGAGGGATTCAGTGTGGGCCCCCCAGGCAAAATTTCACAATTAACTATTAAAATTCACTATTAATTGTAAAGCTAGATCTATTGTCCCCAACCATTACCTGAAGCCTTAGGCAACTCAGTGGCTGCAGGTGTAAGGGCTGAGGATTGTGACCCCATTAACTGATGCCTTAAAAGACTCAGCACAGCACAGAATAATAACCTTAGATGAGGAAAACATGTTTGAATCACATTTGTAAATATAGGAGCTAACAAAGTCAGGGGGTAGCAAACTTCAGGGTTTAACTTTGTCCTTTCCATTTTCCTTATTCTCTGTTTCAAGTTATTTACTGATGACTTTTACTTCACGATAACCCAAGTATCTGCCCCTTACGTCCCTGCTCCTCCTGCCAACACCCTAATTCTGGTCTTTACCACCTCACATCAGGATGGCTATTGTAGTTGCACCCTTGATTTGGGGGCTTCAATTTCTCTCAGGTCCATCCAGCCTATAAATTCCTCTGACATTAATCTTCCTAAGGGAGCTTCTGGAGCTTCTGTAATAGCTCCTGGAGAGCAGGGCCCCAGGGATATTCATTCTGTCCATCACACCACCTAGCATAGTCAATAAATGTGTGTACTCCCAGGAGAAACTTTGCAATGGTTTCCTATTGCCCATATGGTAGTAAAATCTTGATTCCTCACCAAAACCAATAAGATACCTAGAAATAAACCTAACTAAAGAGGTGAAAGGCCTATACTCTGAAAATTATAGAACACTTATGAAAGAAACTGAAGAGGACACAAAAAAATGAACAAGCATTCCATGTTCATGGACTGGAAGAACATAGTCAAAATGTGCATACTACCCAAAGCAATCTACACATTTAATGCAATCCCTATCAAAATACCACCAGCATCTGTCACAGAGCTAGAACAAACAATCCTAAAATTTGTATAGAACCACAAAAGACCCTGAATTGTCAAAGCAGCCCTGAAAAAGAAAAACAAAACTGGAGGCATCAGGATTCCAGACTTCAAGCTATATTACAAAGCTATACTCATCAGACAGTATGGTACTGGAACAAAAACAGACACATAGATCAATAGAACAGAATAGAGAACCCAGAAATGGACGCACAACTATGTGGTCAACTAATCTTTTTTTTTTTTTAATTTTTTTTAACGTTTATTTTTGAGACAGAGAGAGACAGAGCATGAATGGGAGAGGGTCAGAGAAAGAGGGAGACACAGAATCTGAAACAGGCTCCAGGCTCTGAGTGGTCAGCACAGAGCCCGACACGGGGCTCAAACCCACGGACCACGAGATCATGACCTGAGCTGAAGTCGGACGTTTAACCGACTGAGCCACCCAGGCGCCCCTGTGGTCAACTAATCTTGACAAAGCAGGAAAGAATATCCAATGCAAAAAAGACAGTCTCTTCAACAAATGGTGCTAGGAAAACTAGATGGAGACATGCAGAAGACTGAAACTGGACCACTCTTATATACAAAAAAAATTCAAAATGGATGAAAGACCTAAATGTGATACAGGAAACCATCAAAATCCTAGAGGAGAATGCAGGCAGCAACATCTCTGACCTTGGCCACAGTAATTCTTACTAGACATGTGACCAAAGGCACGGGAAACAAAAGCAAACATGAACTATTGGGACCTCAAGATAAAAAGCTTCTGCACAGCAAAGTAAACAATCAACAAAAGTAAAAGATAGTCTACCAAGGGAAAATATATTTGCAAGGTGACATATGTGATGAAGGGTTGGTATCCAAACTCTCTAAAGAACTGATCAAACTCAACACCCAAAAAGCAAATAGCCCAGTTAAGAAATAGGCTGAAGACATGAACAGACACTTTTGCAGATAAGATATCCAGATGGCCAAAAGACACATGAAAAGATGCTCAACATCACTCATTATCAGGAAAAAAACCAAATCAAAACCATGATGGGATACCACCTGTTAGGATGGCTAAAATTAACAACACAAGAAACAACATTTGTTGGCAAGGATGTGGAGAGAGGGGAATCCTCTTGCACTGCTGGTGGGAATGCAAACTGGTACAGCCACTCTGGAGAATAGTATGGAGGTTCCTCAAGAAACTAAAAATAGAACTGCCCTATGATCCAGAAATTGTACTACTAGGTATTTAACCAAAGAATACAGAAATATAGATTTGAAGGGGTACATGCACCCCAATGTTTATAGCAGCATTATCTACAATAGCCAAACTATGTAGAGAAACCAAATGTTCATCAACTGATGAAAGGATAAAGAAGATGTACCCCCCCCCCCACACACACACTGGAATATTATTCAGCCATCAAAAAGAATATCTTACTATTTGTAATGACGTGGATGGAGCTAAAATGTATTATGCTAAGCGAAGTAAGTAAATCAGAGAAAGACAAATACCCTATGATCTCACTAATATTTGGAATTTAAGAAATAAAACAGATGAACATATGGGGGGAAGGGGAGAGGAGAGAGGGAAACAAACCACAAGAAACTCTTAATGATAGAGAAAAAACAGGGTTGGTGAGGGGAGGTGGGTGGCAGATGGGCTAAATGGGTGATGGGTACTAAGGAGGGCACTTGTTGTGATGAGCACTGAGTGTTTATATAAGTAATGAATCACTGAATTCTATACCTGAAACCAGTATTGCACTGTATGTTAACTAAATAAAATTTAAATTAAAAAAAACCCTGACTCCTGAACTCAGTCTTTAACATTTCCAATGAGCTGATTTATTCCTCCCAATTCCCTATATTCAGGCATTTGCTCATAAACTCTTGGGCCATCTACTAAACACTAAGTGCTCAGCATACAGAAATAACAGATACAGTTAATTCTCATTACATGGGGTATTTATGTTCTATAAAGTCACTAAAAACGGGAGATTAGTAAATACTGAACCACTGGTCTTGGGGGAAACACAAAATTTTCTTCCTGACAGCGTTTGGTCAGAACATATTTATCAACAGATCAATCTATAACCATGTTTTATGTGTGTGTCTATGTAAAGCACCTTATTTAATATATACTGTTGATTCATTAACACTGGACCCACCTATGGCCAGCAGCACTGCAGTTCATCCTGAGCAATTCCTACCTAACACATATTTTGTCTGTAAGGCACATCACAACCTTCTTGCACTTGGGACCATCAGACTGGATAGCTCTTCAGCACTCTGCTTAGGGGCCATTTGAAACAGCAAAATAACCGACTCAAAACACAGAAGTGTGAAAATGTGGCACTATACAGGCTGTAAAAAAGGACACTTGT